ACCAACACATGCTATGCAACAACTGTGATCCAAATGCTTGGCTCATGGCTGCGGTGCAATATTTCTATACAAAATTCTAGTTCAACTGGAAAAAAAGAACATGCATTCAGGATTGCCTCCTAAATACCTGGTCTGCCACCCTCTGAAAAGTAATCTATTTGAAAGGGACCTAAAGGTAGGGGAGATCCTCATGCTAAAATAGACATTCCTAGTTCATTCAGAATTGGGACTAGGGCAGCAAAACATTAGGGAGGTGGTATAACGTGGAAAAATGCATATTTTTTTTAAAGAAGATAAAGAAAAGAAGGAATTTGGAGAGTGTACCTATAACTGTTTAAAAAATCATGTGGGCAATGTAATAGGAAACTCTTCCACCCACTGACTACCAAATTTAAGGAGAAAATAAAACACATCTTACATTGATATTCAGGGGGAAGTCTCCTTTCTACTGACCACCAACACTTGCCACCAACTTCCTTACACTGAGGATCGTTAGGAAGGTTGTCACTTTACATTCATGGTCTGCAGGAGGAAAAATGGCTTCTTACATTGGTGGTCATGGAGCAATTTTCTTCTAGAATTGGCATAGAGCCCAGAAGACAGAACCTAAACAAGCAGTGAGGAGCACAATCATCAAACACTCCTGGAAGTATCCAATATGAAGAATCTGATGGAGTCTGTATCCCTTCAACAGAGCCGAGTTAGGAGACATAGGCCTCCAGAGAAGAAAGTATATTACTTTTTCTTTTGCAGACAAATGCTGTTGGGAATTTTTTAGAAAGACAACAGCATTACTTTAAGTATATGAAGTTTCAAATTCAGGCTCCAGGCAAGTGTATGCTATTTCCAACATACTTGGAATAAAATATTCAAATAACATATTTTCCAGTGTGCATTTTATTCCACTGATTATATATATATATATATTTATATATATTTATATAGTATATATAGCATATATACTGTATATACAGTATATATATTATATACATGCATTTTTAACAGTACACAGTTGTTATTATTATAGTAGAAAATAGAACTCTATAGCTGGAATCTGTGCAGTGGTGCGGAAGTGTGTTTTTCTTTCTTGTGGGGAGGCAGTTCTAGATTTTTAGGCTGATTTGTCTCTCTTGATCATAAAACAATAAAGAGCTTTGCTTTTTTGGACATTGCATCTAATGAAAACAAATGACGAGGACAGATTATTATTTCATACAGTGTTACAAAAACTGAGAGTTTGGAGTTCACATATTTAAAGAAAAATTCCACTTTTGCTAAAACAAATGGACACGACATTTACCACAGTGTTTTTTGTAATTTGAAATGTATCAACATTTACTTTTTAATTTCAGTCTGTGTCTACTGTAATTAATAAAAACTGTCTAATATTCAGATATAACTTCCTTACCATATGGTGCTCTGGTTACATGGAGAACAGTAGACATAAAAGTTATTATGTTCTCTCCTCGCCCTTTATAATCTTTTTTGTGTAAAAAAAAGTTAACCGCCAATACAGAGACTGCTGTGTGATGCCTCTGCAAGTCAGTAACTGGGTTCCGTAGAATTGTCAACTTAAAGAAGTCCTCTTAAACTGTGAGCATGCATCCTGTAGTCCTATAGGCTGTAACTGGTTCCTGTCAATCTGGGGCTACAGGGGGCATGCGGCAAACTGATGAGGACACCTCACAGCTCAAATTTCTATGCAAAACCTTGTGGCTGATCTGCTTGGCAATGTACACAGGCTTCTGTGTTGGAAGGTGAGTATTTTTTATTTTAGCAAGGGCAGAGAGGGCACATATTTAATTTTTTGCCCTGTCCTGTGCCTATCCGTTAAAGTAGAAGGCAAGTCAAAACCTAACTAAGCTTAAACCTTCTCCCACCCCTATTCTAAGCCTATTCAATCTACCCCATAAATGAAAGATGTTTATACACTGTCGTGAAAAAGTATTCATACCCCTTGAAAATATCCACATTTTGTCAAGTTACAACCAAAAACGAAAATGTTATTGGGATTTTATGTGATAGACCAACACAAAGTGGCACATAATTGTGAAGTGGAAGAAAAATGATAAATGGTTTTCAACATTTTTTACAAACAAATATCTGAAAAGTGCGGCGTGTATTTGTATTCAGCCCCCCTGAGTAAATACTTTATAGAACCTCCTTTTGCTGCAATTACAGCTGCAAGTCTCTTTGGTGATGTCTCTATCAGCTTCGCACATTTAGAGAGTAACATTTTTGCCCATTCTTCTTTGCAGAATAGCTCAAGCTCTGTCAAATTGGATGAAGAGCGTCTGTGAACAGCAATTTTCAAGTCTTGCCACAGATTCTCAATTGGATTTAGAGCTGGACTTTGACTGGGCTATTCTAACGCATAAATATTCTTTGATCTAAACCATTTCATTGTAGCTCTGGCTGGATGTTTTGGGTCGTTGTCCTGCTGGAAGGTGAACCTCCGCCCCAGTCTCAAGTCTTTTGCAGACTCTAACAGGTTTTCTTCTAAGATTGCCCTGTATTTGGCTCCATCCATCTTCCCATCAACTCTGACCAGCTTCCCTGTCCCTGCTGAAGAAAAGCATCCCCACAACATGATACTGTCACCACCATGTTTCACAGTGGGGATGATTGTGTCTAGGGTGATGTGCAGTGTTAGTTTTCTGCCACACATGGTGTTTTGCTTTTAGGCCAAAAAGTTCCATTTTTGGTCTCATCTGACCAGCGCACCTTCTTCCACATGTTTGCTGTGTCTCCCACATGGCTTCTCACAAACTGAAAATTGGACTTCTTTCAACAATGACTTTCTTCTTCAATAAAGGCCAGATTTGTGCACAGATTCTCCCACCTGAGCTGTGGATCTCTGCAGCTCCTCCAGAGTTACCATGGGCCTCTTGGCTGCTTTTCTGACGGCCACGTCTTGGTAGGTTTGCAGTTGTGCCATACTCTTTCCATTTTCGGATGATGGATTGAACAGTGCTCTGTGAGATGTTCAAAGCTTGGGATATTTTTTTATAACCTAACCCTGCTTCAAACTTCTCCACAACTTTATTCCTGACCTGTCTGGTGTGTTCCTTGGCTTTCATGATGCTGTTTGTTCACTGATGTTCTCTAACAAACCTCTGAGGGCTTCACAGAACAGCTGTATTTATACTGAGATTAAACTACACACAGGTGGACTCTATTTACTAATTAGGTGACGTCTGAAGGCAATTGGTTCCACTAGATTTTAGTTGGGGATATCAGAGTAAAGGGGGCTGAATAAAAATGCACGCCACACTTTTCAGATATATATTTGTAAAAAATTTTAAAACCATTTATCATTTTCCTTCCACTTCACAATTATGTGCCACTTTGTGTGGGTCTATCACATAAAATCCCAATAAAATACATTTACGTTTTAGGTTGTAACCTGACAAAATGTGGAAAATTTCAAGGGGTATGGAAACTTTTTCAAGGCACTATTGTTACCTATTCTGAAGTGACTCCGATCTGCACATATGATCGGGTCCCAGCGCTGGTTTCAATGTAGAGGAGGGACAGCCAACAACAGATACCTCATGGTAATCCTATGGGTGATGTCATCACAGTTTCTCCAGCCACTGTCAAATCTCCCCTCTTCACTGAAGCTGGCTGGAGTGATCATGTGAGCAGACCGGAGAAGCTTCAAGATAGGTTTTTATTTTACCTGGTAGACAGAATAGGCTTAGAATGGTGGTGGGAACAGATTTAAACTTAGGTGTCCGTTTAAGAACCAGCGGTAATAGATCGCTGCTCAGTTCTCCGGCATTCTCGGAGAACACAGTTTTCCTGTGAATGCAGTTTATGAAGCAGTTCTCCGAACGAAGGGAGGAGAACGGTCTCCAAATGCTGGAGAACGGTCTACAAACTCTGGAAAACGGCTCATTTTACTATAATCTCACGAGATTACAGTAAAAGATCAGTTTACTAAGCAGAGATAAATTATCTCTGCTTAGTTTGTGGTCCCTCCGATTCTCCAGCTCTGGGCTGGAGAATCTGGAGGGAGAACACAGATCTCCAGTGAAGGGCTGATATGATCTCCTGAGTGTCATAAACTGTAAATGACCAGAGAATAGCTGAGATCTGTTGAATCGCAGCTATTCTCTGTGTCATAAATGGACACCTACAGTTGCAAGAAAAAGTATGTGAACCCCTTGGGATTACGTTGAGATTTGCATGAATTGGGCATAAAATGTGCTCTGAACATCATCTAAGTCACAACAATAGAAGAACACAGTCTGCTGAACATAATACTACACAAACATTAGATGTCGCCATGGTTTAATTGCACATAACATGTAAACATTCACAGTGCAGGGAGGAAAAAGTATGTGAACCTTTTTCCTCCCTGGTAGTCAACTCTGATTCAGAGGATTTTCCCCTTCGGAAACAAAACTGACGTAATTTTACCTTACACAAACAAACACAAAATGGCCCATGGAGCCCACCGGCTATACAATTATAAGGTGCCCCCACTCTGGGGGGCAGTGTGGTGGGGTTTGGTACTTAGATCTGCAATGCATTGTATTTTTCATTATTCCCTTTTTTGATTTTGTGAATACATTTATTTGAGGGGTAGCCTTATGGATGTGTAGACTATTTTCTTTTTCTTGTTTTTTTTTTATGAATTTTAGCTTCATTGTGACTGGATGAGCCCAGATAGCAACCATAATAATAAATGAATCTACAATTACATTTTTACATGATTTTAATAATTTTGTCTTAGTTTACTATGTAAACATTTTTTTACTTATGAAAACGTATGTAAATATAATAGCTTTTGGTCGTTTCATGGTGTTTATGAAATCTAACAACACTGTGGATTCTCACACATCAAGTCCAAATGTTAAATACAACAAGAGGCCATAATACACAGCATTTGCCGGATCGATTGTTGTTCAGCATCCTTTTCCAATGAATGTTCTATGTCCACATTATGGCATTGAAATCTGCTGTGGTAGTAATTAGAGTTCTCCTCTATGCTGCTATCGGTTGTTTTGGATGGGATGAGTCCGTACTCTGTAGATAATGACGGCTGCAGCCGGGAAGAGAAGCAATGATGTCATCACCAAGATGGTGGCCAGAATAATGAGAATGATGACCCAAATGTCCAGTATGTGTTTAGGGATCTCTACTGGGGTTGGAGTCACGAGTTCTGTCATTTTAGCTTATGATGTGAAATCCACTGCCTGTAATGAGAAATAAACAGGAAGGACAATGAAAAAAGACATATTAGTAACATGCTTTAGAATAAAGCTAAACTCTGGGATAAGCAAGTATTGTGTAAATGCAAGAGGCACATTCATACTTGAAACTTGGTATGCTTTGTGTATTTCTTACAGATCTATGTGGTTACCTAGCATTAAAGTGGAGTTCCACCCAAAAGTGGAAGCTCCGCTTGTTTGCCTCCTCGCCCCCTCCACTGCCATATTTGGCACCTTTTGGGGTGGAGGGGGTAGCGGATATCTGGATTTGACAGGTACCCGCTCCCACTTCCGGCTTTGTTTGCCATAGTGAAGTGAGCTGTAAGTTTGGCCTCCTCCTTTAGTCTCCTGGGAACCTTCACAGGTCCCAGAAGACTCCCGGATCAATCAGGTCCCAGCGTGACTCCTGCACGCTCAGTGGGCACCCGGCTGTGAAGCCACAAGCTGTCACAGCCTGGTGCCCACAGTTGAGATGCTGTGGAGAGAAGAGCAGGAGAAGGTACGGCGCGGGTGAGCACATCGCTGGATCCTGAGACAGGTAAGTGTGTGTTTATTAAAAGTCAGCAGATACATATTACACAATTGCAGACAGTAGCAAACTGCTCAAAATTATTTGATAAATAGCAGCCAAGCAACTTTTTTTGGGGGGGGCACTTTTTCACGTGATTTTGTATCTAGAGAGGGTTCTAGTGAAAACTCCCTCTTTGTTCATTTGAACAAAAATCACATGTAATCATGTGACGATCATGATTTTTTTTTGGGTTGTTTTTTAAGCCATTAATACACATTATTAACATTATTATCATCTTTAAATGTACATTGAAAAAAAAGTTATTTAGAAAGGCTGTCTAATAAAAGATCACTGATATATACACCCTGCAGCAGAAGTAGAGTAGAATGAGGAAAACAGAAGGGAGACTAAGACCCTGGTCGCACTGCGTGTGACTTGGCAAGCGATTTGCATGCCATGCAACTTGCAAATCGCATGCCAAGTCGTACTCTATTGTCTGCAATTATAGTGGTCATATTGGTGCGGTTCCGATTGGAGCCGCACCAATTTCTAAAGTAGTGCACGCATTACTTTTGGTACAATTTGCATAGACATCTGTGTCAGATGTCTTGCAAATCGCACCAGAAATTGGCATGTCCCCTGACTTTGAAATTGTGCGATTTCACTGTAAGTCGCACAATTTCAAAGTTGGGCTTGATATGACCGGGGTGTAAGGCAGGAATGCTCTAGAAATGTCAGCTGAGGGCACAAGCTCTTGAGATGCTAGTATACATTCAGCCTGAAGGGATCAGAAAAGTCTGATCTAACTTTGACAAGCAAGTTCACCAATTGAACTGTGAGTGGTTTTAACATTATTAAAATACTGTTCCATGCTCAATATGCCAGTATGTGCTGGTTTCTCTGGTACAGTATTTTTATTGAAGTGCAAAGGAGAAAACACAGTCACAATATTCCCAAGCAGGGGATAAGGACAATAGGCACATCATGGAATAATATAAGTTATATTAGAAGTTCAAAGAAACATGAACTGTCAAACAACAATAAGCCTCTGGTGTGGGCTGGGGTCAGCACTGGATGCCTCAGTCCTAAAACCCAGGGGCTGGAAGGGTTTTGGAGTGTGGGTTTCGCCGGTCCACCTTAAAAATAGGGGGGTGAGAAGGGAAAGGAGAGAAAGGGGTGAGAACAAGACACAAGGCAAGGAAATGGAGGAGAAGGGAGTTCCCTCATGTGGAGGCAGTGGAGATTAGCTAGGGATACCAAAACTGGTCGGATGCAAAGTTGAAAGAGTGTAAGACCACCGTGGGGATCACGCCTTCAGAAATTTATGGTGGGAGTCATGAAGGATACTGGTAATCTTTTCATTAACCATTAGGGTCATTAGGATGCTCTTCACCTCCACAAACCAGACAGTGGGTTTTTTCCAGGCCCTGGCAATTGCACATTTAGCGGCGATAAATAGATAAGTGACCAATTTCTGCTGATAGGAGAAAAGGCCTAGGATCGGGCAGTGAAGGAGCACTAGTTTGACATCTTTGCAGATGGGTATTTGGAAGAGAGTGAACAGGAGTCTAAACACTCTTGACCAAAAACCCACCAAACGGGGACAGGACCACCAGACATGGATGGAGTTAGTCTCCTCGCTGACCACAGCCCTGAAAACATCCATCACTATATGAGGGATTCGAGTGAGTGATATGGGCAGGGACCCAGTACCAGCAGGAAAAGGGCCTTATAGGCAGCCACCAGCATAAAAGTGTTGAATGAGCACTTCGGTATTCTAGTCCAGGCTTTTCTCCAATCTGCAGCGTTGATAGGGGATAGGTCTCATTCCTATTTGAGCACGTAGGATGGGGATTTCAGTGCACCACTAGCGTTTGTGGAGGAGTAGCTCATAGATATGGTACCATTAGGAAATTACATCTCTACATGCTGTATATTCCTTTATGGTATGAGCTAGCTGCATTAAACCAGTAACAACATACCCCATACACAATGATAAGGGTCTGCATCAAATGTACTTCATGAGATATACTACTCTGACTTCTAAAAGCATTAAATGTACAAGGCAAGAAAAAGCCATTATGATGAGACAATGAAATTAGGCATGTGCAGGAGGCAGCCTACATGTACCAGCAGTACCCCAAAAGAATATTTGAGATATAAGCAAAGTTCAAAAATCTTAGCCACCTGTCACTTCTTATACACTATATGGACAAAGAATGTGTAAACCCCCTGAGAAATATTGAGTACAGGTGCATAAAACCAAGTGCATAAAGAAGCAGTTTGAGTCCAGTGATGAGGAACTTGAGTGGCCTGCACAAAGCCCTGACCTTAACCTGACAATACCAGCCAGCTCTTCATGTCCAACATCAGCACCTGACCTCACAAACACTTTTTTAGCTGACTCTGCCCAAATTTCCACCGGCACACTCCAAAATCTTATGCATACCCTTCGTAGAAGAGTAAATGCTGTTAAAGCTGCAAGGGGTGAGTGGACATCTATAGATTAATGTCCATGATTTTGGAACAGGATGTCCAGCAAACTCAAATAGGTGTGAAAGCCAGGTGTCCACAAACGATTTTACAACAGTAAGATCTCCACGCAATAGCTATTGGCTTTGATCCAGCACACTTTGAAAGTTTAGATGACCTGTGCAAGCTTGGGGTTTTCCCATTCCTTCTGTTGCATTATTGATAACATTAAGAGCTAGTTCACACTAGATGCAGTCCAGTGTGTTTGTTTTCTGCATCATAAATGCATGCACAGTGTTTTCCATATATTCCAATGGCCCTAGTTCACACCAGCGCAGTCTGTTCCAGTCAGTTTCTGGTGCAGAAACAAAAGTAGAACATGCTGCATTTTTTCTCCATAGAACCATACTTTAGCATAGCAAACTGCATCAAAACTGCACCGGAACGGAGTGTGGTGTGAACTGTGAGCAAAAATGTATCCGGAATGTATCCAGAATGCGTTTTTGTGGTGTGTACTGTCCCTATATAATTTTAATATCCAGTAGTGAAAATGGCTATCCCTCTACTGACCGCAGTTAGTGCACAGACCTGGGAACTAAATTTCTCAAGAGACATAAGCAATTAGGTGGTTTAATGGGGAATTATCAGTTTTGAGTGGATTGACATTTTAAACAGCTACTGAAACAGCCAAAACTTTACTTACAATAATGTATTTTATAATCAGCTATCCAATTATATAATAGTACAAAAAGGATAAAGAAACAAAACTGAAAGGTAAGAGAGAAAAGAAGGAAAAACCGAAGAAAACCAGAAAGAATCAGCTAGGCTATCCTAAATAGTAGCAACAGACATTGAAATGAAACATTGTTCAATGAATTTGTTGCTAACAACTAAGCAACAAAGACTTACAAAAAAATTTTCAGAAGTAAACTTTGGTCCCATTTCTGAATATAAATCAAGCAGTAAAACTGTATTCAGACTCATAAAAGGAAATCAACAATTTAGTCAAGCTGTGGAAACATCTCCAGTATAAGACATGCTACGGAATACGTGCTACTGCCCATCAACAGCTGGCAGAATCTTCATTTCTGATTATAAACACAACTCTCTGGATGTGAAACAATATTGTCGATGGAGAGGTGTCTGAATAGAAAGCAGCTGGATAGAAACCAATTAGAGGCTTTCATTTCTAAACTGAACTGAAAAGTGGTATTATTGCTTTGAAAGGACACAGGGAACACATGCTACCTTTCACATCAAAAGAAAAGCCTGAAAATGGTGATAAATAACTATAGTCCTAACACTAACCTACCATCTAACCCTTCATGTAATTGTAATGCTAACCTTTTCTGTTGGAATACAGTGTTCATGTATTGTGCAACTACTGCAGTGTTCAGTATAGATTTCCCTCAGCCAGTAGATGGCAGTGTTTATAAATGTGTAGCTGCATCTATGACTATACTCTATATATTTTTTCCTGAATTAAGTTCCTGTTTCCTGTTAGCAGCAGATAAAAATTAAAAATGTGGACTGTGTACTGTCTGTTCTGTAGGCCTATATACAGAATCTTTAACATTTTCAATAACCCTAACAATCACCCTCCAACTAATTTTACCAGTAACCATAGTACTAATCTGGCAAAACCCTACCTGATACCCTAACTCTCAAACTAATCTTTGAGATAACCACTAACACAAAACATTAACCCTCCCTGTGAATCTAACATAACTTCCCCACTAACCCTAAGAGTTTTCCCTGGCTAACGTGGGTTAATCTAACACTGATCACCGGCCCCATAATCCAGTACTATCCCATAAACTAACTAACCTCACACTCACCCTTCCTGTAGCTTATTACCAATTTTTCACATGTTGTAATTGCAGGGCTCATTCACACTATGTGTGGAGACCTGCCATTTTCTGCCCCTGATCATCACAGGGCTCCCCGAGGGTACCTAGAAATCAATACATCTCATTCACACCACAACAGAGCAGAGAAGTATGAAAATTGCAGCATTTCTGCATGTTTTCTGCCCTGAACCAACTGAGGTCTCTGTAGCAATAACCCTTCGACTATGCCTGAAAGCCTAACATTAACCCTGTGACCAACCAACGTTGTAATATGTGTGGCAGGTCTCCACACATACCCTAACCATAAATCTCCATTCTTCTTTTTATCCCTACACTAACCCCTAATGAACCCTTGTTCACTAGTGACTAACCATCGCTGTAAAACAAAACCTCCCTGTTACCCTAACTCTCCATTCTTCTTTTTACCCCTACACTAACCCTTAATGAACCCTCATTCACTAGTGACTAACCATCCCTGTAAAATGAAACCTCCCTGTTAAACAAAACTTCCCTGTTACCCTAGCTAATCTACCCTCTTGCACACATTCACACGTAAGGGCTCGTTCACACGTGAGGTCAGGTGGGCGTTAAAACCTGGCAATTGAGCCACAGTCCCCTGACTGCCCACATGGACATTAAATATACACCCACTCATGGCCAGGGCTGGGACAAGAGATGGGCAGGAGGGACAGTTTACTGTATGGATGGGGACATCAGTGAGCTTATTCTGTTACAAGGCATTTTGATAAGCTGATAACTGCTGGGGGTAGTATCCACTAAGATGGCAAATTTTAAGGTGGAAGGGGGGAGCAGTTTAGCTTCTTTGCCCTGGGCACTGGATGACCTTGTCCCGGCACCGCTCATGGCTGTGCACATGCAGTGGCAAAATTTAAACAGCATATTGCTTTCAACTCACACAGTCCTATGGGGCCATGCCAGAGCTGCACCACAATGGTGTACATTGCATGGGATTGTTGCCTGGTAGTATGACAATTACAAGGTTAAATTAGGCGGTGCGGTGGTGACATACCTCACCACCTGTCAAACACAAGATCACTTTTCAAGCATGGATCAGTGGATTGACAGCCCTAAAACTAAACCTCTAACTAACCCTACCTGTAACCCTAACCCTTTCCTATGCAAATGTGTAGGCAGGTGCAGTCTGTAATCTGCACTGCAGGTGGCGCTTGTCTGCAGCAGCAATGCAGATGGGGGAGGAGGTTAGGAGGAACTGGGTATCTCTATAGTTTCTTCAGGCACTTGGGTCAGGGACCTGGTTGGATGCTTGTGCCCATGTGACCCCAATGGCTGTCTTGGGTCAGGCAGAATCTATTTAGGACTCTGACCCCTGGGTTTGGCATGCTTTATGCAAGTGGCTAATGCAGAGATCTTTGTCTGACAGAGAAAGTGTTGAGCGTTAGGGAGAGGTTTCAGAGGAGTAGGGAGAGAGCAGAGACTACGTCTACCTTATCAGGAAGTGTCCCCTTTGGGTTGGACTGGCCAGACCACATTCCACACCTTATGACAGATGCTATTCATATCCTTGGGTCTCTGGACCATTGTCTCACCACAAACAGTTGTAAGAGATGCCGGACAGCGATCCTTCCCACGGTCTGTTTGTACAAGTTGAACTCTTTTGCAATGCTTTGTTTCTGGGACTCTCTGTGTTTACTGCCTGTCACACTACGCTGCACCTACCCAACAAACGTAACCTCTACTCAAGCCTTTCCTACACAAAAAGATATCAGCACTCAAGATACCAATATTGGAATATACTGATTTGCTAACAAAAAGAAAGTAATCTTCCCAAAAGGCACTCAGGCAGCAAATATAGTCTGACAGAGGTTTCCGACACTTCCCTGTTTAATTGGAAACAATAAGGTAAAATTAGCTAGCAATGTAAATAAAAGGATTACCTGTAAAATTAATTTCTTGGAACACAATACAGGACATGGCCATAGTCTTACAGGAGTAGTTTCAGCACATAACCCAGTCATCAAAGACTATTAACATGTACTTTACTGTACTATTAAAAATAAACTTTTGGCTGGAGTTGGGATCTTTGAGATGATATCTCTTTCCATGCTGAGACTAACTCCTTATGTCTAGGAGGTCTATTACCTTCACCGTGGAAATGACAGGTAACTACCTATAATAAAGCGGAGCTCCACCCAAAAGGGGAAGTTCTGCTTTAAGCACTAGTCCCCCGTTCCCCTGAGAAATTGGCACCCGATTACCTGATTTTGACAGGTACCCGCTCCCACTTCCGCTGCGATTGCCTCGGCCAGTGGTCTACAAACTGTGGCCAAGGGGCCGGATGTGGCCCTTTGTTTGCCTTTATCTGGCCCTTGGGGCACTATTCTTCCCCAACCATACAAGGTACTATTCCACAGACTGACACCAACAACAGGACATAATTCCTGTTACTGATACCAATAATGGGGCACTATTCCTCCCACTGACGCCAATGATGGAGCACTATTCCTTCCCCTGATCCAACAATGGGGAACTATTGGTACCACTGACGCCAATGATGAGGCATAGTTTACTCCCACTGATGCCAGAGCATTTTTCACTTTTACTTGCCACAGTCCGGCCCCCTCAAAGTCTGAAGGACTGTAAACTGACCCTTTGTTTAAAAAGATTGGAGACCCCTGGCCTAGGCGATCAGAAGTGGAAGTTGTCCTCCCTCCCTGTTCTGGGACACATTACAGGTCCCAAAGACTCATATACAGAGTGCAGTGCTACTAGTGCATGCACAGCCGCCAGCTGTCACAGCCGGGTGCCAACACTTAAGATGCTGGCACAGGGGAGCGAAGACAGCTGGTGAAGCTGGCTGTAGTGAGTACACCGCTGGATCGTAGAACAGGTGAGTGTCTATTTTGTAAAAGTCAGCAGATACAGTTTTTGTAAATGCTGACTTTTATTTTTTTTTTTTGTTTGGCTGGAGCTCCACTTTAATTTCACTAAAAATACTTAGAAGCAGAATAAATCTTGAGTTGAGAATGCTTCAAAGACTCATGAACACATGACTAGTGTAGAAAAGATGTTGGAAAATGCTAACACCCCCAAAACATACTTACCCAACTTCCGAAAAACCCCACATTTTCCCAACACTCCCTCCACCGAAAAAGGAGACCACACATTGTTGGAGTAAAATGGCCTTCACTGCCTTTTATTAACAATTTAACTTAAATCCAGAGAAAAACATTCCTTAAAAAAGAAACCTCCATAAACTTATGAAATGAGTTGTTGGTCTAGGCAGGCACCCAAAACAATATTGATCTCCCCCTGTGGAACCTTAATGTTCCTCCTAGGCCTCCAGCCGCAACGCACCAATTCGGAGACAAGGACACACCTTCCGCAGGTAGACCTCCACCTTCCAGTTAAACCTCGGTTAACTGGAATTTACCCGGGCACACCATACCACAGATGGGTCCCAACCATACACTTTTCTTCAAAACCATTAACAAACTCCCAAGACCAACAACTGCCACCAAACCAAACAAGCCAAACAAAACAAACACCCCAGGGGAGGGCAGGCGGGAAGTTCTCTCTTCAACTGCTAACCAGCACTGGCTTGTCCCCCAACACTCCCCCAAGATTCAAGGATGATCCCACCCAATACTACTAACACCAATCAGGTAACTTCCCTATCTTTTAACCCTTCCCCTTTAACTTAACTCTTTCCTGTCTTTTTCTCCCTCTTCACCTAGTCATGTCTGCCCTGTACTATTCTTCTTTCTTTCTTTCTTTCTTTCTTTCTTTCTTTCTTTCTTTCTTTCTTTCTTTCTTTCTTTCTTTCTTTCTTTCTCTTTCCTTTCTTTTTTTTGCTACAGGCACCCCTTTCAGTGTAGTCATGTCTGCCCTGTACTATTCTTCTTTCTTTCTTTCTTTCTTTCTTTCTCTTTCCTTTCTTTTTTTTGCTACAGGCACCCCTTTCTGTATTTCTGCCCCTGGGAGTCACAGTGTTGAAGTACAGCTTTGGCCAGTAGCCTGTACAGGTCAATGACAAGCTGTCAGATGCTATGGCTGGATGCCTGTAACAGCACATTTTGTCCCTGTCTGCTTGTAATTACTTGGATGTGTGGTCATGGGTGTATAGACATAGCATCTGATGGCCTGTCTTTGACTTGTACAGGCTACTAGTTGCTGCTGTACACCGATACCTGTGATGTTTGGGTGCAAAAATATGCTGAATTCTTGCGCTGTATGCCTGAATGTGTCCATGTGCATGAGCCCTAATTGCTGTTTGATTATGCTGTTTTTTGGCTGACAAAGCCTACAACAAATTTTAACATCACATATTTTGCAGTGAGTGTTGAGGGATGTTGTAAGCACACCATGAAATCACTCTCACGCTATTTAAATGCACAGTCAAAAAGTTACTATGAAAGGGAAGTAAAACATAAAAATATAATAAAAACAAATGTTTGCTAATATCGCCTTCCCTTTTTCTCAAAAATGTGAATTTTTACAATTGTTAATTAGGCCCCATACTCGGAGATCATTCACTGATATTGTAACCTAAGATACATACTAGAAAAAAAGTAATATGTTCATACCAGCTCTGTTAAAGTGGACAGATATTCTTTCATTAAAGCGGTATTAACCACTTCCCGACCGGCCATTGCATATAAAACGGCCGGACGGTGGCAGTGCAGGGTCGGGTGGCCGTTTATCAATGGCCTCCCCGCACCCTGCTTGTGCACGCTCCCTCGGAGCGCGCAGCACCGCGATCCGGTGCCCGCTGTGTCCTCCGAACACAGTGAAACACCGATCGTCGGGCGGGACCTCTGTACGAGGTCCCGATCATGTGATCACTGATTGGCCAATCAGTGATCACATGCAAAGTAGTAAGCAAGATGTCACTTGTGACATCATTGCTTACTACATGTGAAATCTGTGAATGATCACAGAGGTCACATGGTACAAGGCTATTCACAACAGCCTTGTACCATGTGACAAGCTGTGACCAATCACAGCTCACTCAGTACTTTTCCATGAGTGCAGGAATGCACACAGAGAGAAAGAGTAATAATTGCTTTTACATCCTATATGGGTGTAAAAGCAATCAGTGTAAAAAAAAAAAAAAATCTACATCACCCCCCACAAGTAGTACAGTGTCACCATGGTGACACTGTACTGCTAGGGTGACAGTATGTAAAAATAAAAATAAAAAATAATAATATAAAAAAAAATAAAATAAAAATGTAAAAATAAATGTTTAAAAATTATAACTTTTGGTTATAAACTAATTTGGATTTTTTTTTTACTAAAAAAGATAACGGAATAAATTTTGGCAAAGATTTATTAATGATATATTATTTATTTGCAAAATTTTATTAAAAAAACACTTTTTTAAAAATTTTTGGACTTTTTCATTTACATAGCAAAAAAAATAAAAATCCCAGCGGTGAATAAATACCACCAAAATAAAGCTTTATCTGTCTCCAAAAAATGGTAAAAAAATTCATTTGCGTACAGTGTTGCATGACCGCGCAATTGTCATTCAAAGTGTGATAGCGCTGAAAGCTGAAAATTGCCCTGGTCAGGAAGGGGGTATAAGTGTCCGGTCTGGAAGTGGTTAAACCCCAAACCAAAAATTTACTATTTTGCACCTTACCAATCCTTAGATGTGGGGGCTGCATTCGTTTTCTTTTTTTTTTAGTTTTTTTCTCTGTTTTCACCTGGCGATCTACCCAGTAACATACCTCCTGTATTAGAGTGCCTACACTCTGGATGAAGGAGCACAGGGGGCACAGCAGACAGCAGCATTGCCAGTCTAGGGGGAGGGGAGTGTTCAATGTAATAGCAACAAATTTAGATACACTAAACACATTGAAGCCAAACTCCAGCTCATATTTTTCAAGAATCATGCACAATGCACAGGCATTAGGCTTTTTTTCAGTCTGTAAAAGCACCTCTATATTAGCCTATGTGTCCATACATGCATAGGCTATTACATGCATATTAGAGGAGCATTTACAGGTTCCATCACCAATACATTCTGGAGAGGAGCTTTCGTGCAGAAAAAATGCTTGATGTACCCAAACATGTCCAAACACTAGGTGGATTTAGGCACGTTTGAGTGTTAATATATTCCAATGGCCAGAATAAATTTATATTCTGGCCAATGGAATCCAATAATGCTCCAACGCTTGACGCACCTAAATGTGCAATATGTGACTTTAGGTGCATTTTTCAGGCAACCTTTCTCCTGCCAGGAGTTCTAATGTTTAGAGGAGAAAAGTAAATGCCCTGTGTGCATGTGGCCTCAAGCAGTAACAGTTTTTTTTCTATTGGGAAAAAGGTTATACATGAATAAATAAAAGCTGGTCATTGCAAGCCCCATGTCAGTGTTAAATGGTTTGTTCCAACCAGGGGCGGACTGACTATTCAGACACTCAGGCACTGCCCGAGGGCCTGGGGTCAGTTGGGGGCCCCACGACATTCCCCTGGTACCTTAGGCTTTTTTGGGAGTGGTTTGAATTTGGGCGAGGACACAGGGGCCCCATGATCCCCTATGGTCCAGGGGCCCCATGTTGACATGCCCCTTGTACGTTTCATAGGCTTTTTTGGGAGTGGTTTGAGTGTGGCCGAGGACACAGGGGCCCCATGATTCCCTATTGTCCGGGGGCCCCATGAGTTGACAGTCCGACCCTAGTTTCAACCCTTTAACTGCCACATCTGCATGAGAACCTGTTCTGTTGAAAAAACAACACTTACTGGCTAATTCACCAGGTGAATATAAAAGAAAGAATGGCATAAGCATATACTCCTATACTCCTGCGCTGGAGGATGGACTCCACAGAGGTTAGAACCACAAGTGGGATGCCTGGAAGCTGCATGCCTTGCTGCCCTCAATGGACCAGAGGGATCCAGAGTACTGCATGCAAAGAAACAAACAGAGGGTGCACGGGCCTAGTGCATTACCTTTTCAAAGATAATTTATTATGTAAATAAGTGGTAATATACTCACAAAGGAACAAATATCAACGGCACATCATATATAGTACAGCAAGGTCCAGTCCCACTGGATGATAACCGTAATGGGACTCCTATACCTCCACATAGCTGATGCGTTTCGAGGGCTTGAGGTTTCAGATCGGCTCTGAGGAAGAGGCAAATCCTCGAACGCGTCAGCCATTTGGAGGTCTAGGAGTTCCGTTACGGATATCATCCAGTGTGACTGGACCTTGCTGTACTTTATATGATGTGCCCTTGATATTTGTTCCTTTGTGAGTATATTACCACTTATTTACATAATAAATGATCTTTTAAAAGGTAACGCACTAGGCCTGTGCACCCTCTGTTTGTTTGCATGAATATAAAAGAAAAAGAGCCTAAAAAAGAAAATAATTGCGGCCATCACATCTAGGAAATGGTAAGCTGCTTTTCGGGTTAACACTGTTTTAAGTAATGTGTAAGGTTAACACTTAGGGGCATATTTAGTGAAATATTTAGTGAATGTCTGATCTGCTGCCTTGTAAATATGAGAGATCTTCAAAAAGTGTCAACACTTTGATACATACATATATACACTATATTGCCAAAAGTATTGGTCGGCCTGCCTTTACACGCCCATGAACTTTAATGGCATCCCAGTCTTAGTTCGTAGGGTTCAATATTGAGTTGGCCCACCCTTTGCAGTTATAACAGCTTCAACGTTTCTTGGAAGACTGTCCACAAGGTTTAGGAGGGTGTCTATGGGAAGGTTTGACCATTCTTCCAGAAGAGCATTTGTGAGGTCAAGCACAGATATAGGTTGAGAAGGCCTGGATCGCAGTCTCCGCTTTAACTCATCCCAAAGGTGTTCTATCAGGTTGAGGTCAGGACTTTGTACAGGCCAGTCAAGTTCCTGCATCCCAAAGTTACTCATCCATGTCTTTATGGACCTTGCTTTGTGTGCTGGTCCACAGTCATGTTGGAACAGGAAGGGGCCATCCCCAAACTGTTCCCACAAAGCTGGGAGCAGGACATTGTCCAAAATGTCTTATTATGCTGCCAGCTTAAGAGTTCCCTTCACTGGAACTAAGGGGCCAAGCCGAACCCCTGAAAAACAACCCCACACCATAATCCCCCCCTCCACCAAACTTTACACTTGACACAATGCAGTCAGGCAAGTACCGTTCTGACAACTGCAAAACCCAGACATGGCCATTGGATTGCCAGACGGAAGCATGATTGGTCACTCCAGAGAACACGTCTCTGCTGCTCTAGAGTCCAGTGGCGGTGTGCTTTACACCACTGCATCTGATGCTTTGCATTGCACTTGGTGATGTAAGGCTTGGATGCAGCTGCTCAGCCATGGAAACCCATTCCATCTAGCTCTCTACGTACGGTTGTTGTGCAAATCTGAAGGCCACATGAAGTTTGACTCTGCAAACATTTGGCAACTTCTGCACACTGTGTGCTTCAGCATGGTCTGACCCCGCTTTGCCATTTTACGTGGCCTATCACTTGGTGGCTGAGTTGCTGTTGTTCCCAGTTGCTTCCACTTTGTATTCATACCACTAACAGTTGACTGGAATATTTAGTAGCAAGGAAATGTCACGGATGGACTTATTGCACAGGTGGCAACCTATCACGGTACCACGCTTGAATTCACTGAGCTCCTGAGAGCGACCCATTCTTTCACAAATGTTTGTAGAAGCAGTCTGCATGCCTAGGGACTTGATGCCATGGAGGTGATTGGAACACCTGAATCCAGTTATTTGGAGGGGTGTCCAAATACTTTTGGCAATATAGTGTATGTATATATACATATATATTTTAAAAAGTGCAGAAACCTTAAGAACCTTCGTATGTTCATTACAGTTAGGCAGCACAATGGCTAAATGGTTAGCTCTTCCGCCTGGCAGTACTAGGGTCGTTGGTTCAAATCCCAACCATAGCACCACCTACCTGGAGTTTGCATGTTCTCCCTGTGCCTGCGTGGGGTTCCTCCAGGTACTCTGGTTTTCTCCCACACTCCAAAGATGCTGGTAGGTGAATTGACTCCTGTCTAAATTGGCCCTAGTATGTGTATGTATGAATGTAAGTTAGAGACCTTAGATTGTACACCCCTTGAGGGTTAGGGACTGATGTGAAAGTATAATATATATGTAAACAACTGCGTAAATTGATGGTGCTTTACAAGTACCTGTAATAAATATGTCTCACAATCCTTCCCCTGACAATATGCTCATCTGATTTCTTTGTCCCCAGAAGCACTGAACCATCTTTTAAAATAAATAGTGTAGCGCTAAAAAATACTAACAATTACGTGTTAAAATGCACAAACTCTATATACATCCCCTACATATATATATCCAAGGTGATAAATCAATACATAAATAATAAAATAGTTGTGTCATACGTGAATTCCCTCACGGGGAATATTTAGTGAAAAAAGTGACAAACACACTCCTATTTGCACATTGTGAAACAATATGTATACTGGTGCACACAATTAGTGAACAAATAATCAATTCAAAAAGTCCAAAATGATAAAATAATAGTAATACGATAATTTGTGTTGATCCTCACACTTCACTCTTCATGCAAGAATATATAATGTGCCGTATACGTGGTACACACGTGCCAATCCTTTACTAGCCAAAATCTTTGTTCAGGTGTCACCCAGAGTCAACATCTACTTCCTGGACAGAGATGCTGGCTCAGAGATGTCACATGCATGTAAATCCTGGTGCTTGCACAGTTCTTCAATGTGCTCTCAAACATGAGACACACAGACAATGCAAAATCTTCATATAGCAGTTAAAAAAAAAGAAAACAAGCAACAGGATGCACCTACCAGCCTGCTCTTACTGGAAATCTGAAAAGTGACCTGTCACAGATTGCTTTTCAAGGATGGGACAGTAAACACTGCTGCTTGTGTGAAAGGAGCCTTTTTATTTAACTTTGAAATGAACGTGTTTATTAATATGCATGCAGAGACACATGCACCTATGATTTTGGGGGGGGGGGGGAGGGAGGGAGGAAGATCTGCTTTAAACAACCTTCAGATAATATTTGGCTACATTTGGAGTGCATTGTTTTAAATGTGTCAGCCAACTAAAAATTTTGCATTTTGAGAAGAATCAGTACGGAATGACCATAGTTGAAGACTGTAAAGCAGGAAGCAAAGTTTGTATATTTTACATTTAAATATGCCTACTCTATGTACATACTGTGTATACTTACTAAAAAAAACAGTGATAAGATTGATTACTTTCACTGATTTCTTTTACATCTAAAATCCCTTTTGATCCTAAATAAACATTGCAAAAACTATGCATTTCCCTCTGGAATCTCTATAGTTGTCATTGATCAAGGCAAGGAGTTCTTCCCCAACCCATAGCCAGGACTGGAGATAATATAAAGCCGCACTGCAGTCTGGCTGTCGAGGTGTAATTTATTGTTCCAGATACATATTGCAGAACTCTGCTGTGAGCTGAAGATTCCCGAGTCTTCCCTATGGTGTATGTTTGCTATTTGTTCCAATCGATTATCAGAGGGCTGCTAATACCAGCAATTAGGGAGCTGTTGAGCCCAATAGTAAGGTGCCAGTGCTCCACAGGGGATTCTGAAGAGTAATACACAGGACCCAACACTTTCAGTTAACCCATGCTAGGAGAAATATTTGGGCTGCTATTGCTTACTTTTTTCTTTTTTACCTTACCTTTATGGCTATCACATAGGAGCTGATAAACTGTCTATATGTTAGCCTCGTGCAGGTGACAGGTTCTCTTTAACCACTTCAAGTCTGAACACTTTTACCCCCTTCCTGTCCAGGCCAATTTTCAGCTTTCAGCGCTATCACACTTTGAATGACAATTGGCGGTCATGCAACACTGTACCCATATGAATTTTTTAGCATTTTTTTGAGACAGATAAAGCTTTATTTTGATGGTATTTATTCACCACTGGGATTTTTATTTTTTTTTGTTATATAAATGAAACATCCAAAAATTTTGAAAAAAGGATTTTTCTTATACAATTTTGCAAATAAATATTCTTTCTTCATAAATCTTGGCCGAAATGTATTCCGTTATCTTTTTAGTTAAACAAAATAACCCAATATAAGTTTATAACCAAAAATTATCATTTTTAAAAAATTGTTTTACATTTTTATTTTATTTTTTATATTATTATCACCATGATGACACTGTACTACTTGTGGGGAGTTATGAAGATTTTTTTACACTGATTGCTGTAAAAGCAATCATTTCTCCTTCTCTCTTGCTGCATTCTTGCAGCCATTGAAAAAAATACTGTGTGAGCTGTGATTGGTCACAGCTTGTCACATGGTACAAGGCTGTTGTGAATAGCCTTGTACCATGTGATCATTCACAGATTTCACACGTAGTAAGCAATGATGTCAGAAGTGACATCTTGCTTACTACTCTTCAAGTGATCACTGATTGGCCAATCAGTGATCACATGATCGGGACCTTGCACAGAGGTCCCGTACAACGATCGGTGTTCCACTTTGTCCGGAGGACACAGCGGGCACTGGATCACGGTGCTGCGCGCTCCCTGGCCACCCACCCCTGCACTGCCACCATCCGGCCATTTATATACAACGGCCGGACGGGAAGTGGTTAACGATATATCAAGGGGACTATTGTTGGGGGCACATTACTCTACGTGTAGAAGAAATTGAACAGTTTTACAGCTACGCAAATCACAAGAAAGCCAACAGCTCACTGTAAAAGCTAAACTATAGGAGTCTATTGACATGCCAGTGCTGCTGAACATATACCGTATTTTTCGCTCCATAAGATGCACCTGACCATAAGACACGCCTAGGTTTTAGAGGAGGAAAACAAGAAAAAAAAATATTCTGAACCAATGGACTGCAGACATAGTAATGGAGATGACCAGAGACTGCAGACATACTACAGGAGATGACCAGAGACTGCGGACATACTAGAGGAGATGACCAGAGACTGCAGACATACTAGAGGAGATGACCAGAGACTGCAGACATACTAGAGGAGATGACCAGAGACTGCAGACATACTAGAGGAGATGACCAGAGACTGCAGACATACTAGAGGAGATGGCCAGAGACTGCAGACATACTACAGGAGATGACCAGAGACTACGGACATAGTACAGGAGATGACCAGAGACTGCGGACATAGTACAGGAGATGACCAGAGACTGCGGACATAGTACAGGAGTTGACCAGAGACTACAGACATAGTACAGGAGATGACCAGAGACTGCGGACATAGTACAGGAGATGACCAAAGACTGCAGACATAGTACAGGAGATGACCAGAGACTACGGACATAGTACAGGAGATGAACAGAGACTACGGACATAGTACAGGAAATGACCAGAGACTGCTGACACAGTACAGGAGATGACCAGAGACTACGGACATAGTACAGGAGTTGACCAGAGACTACGGACATAGTACAGGAGATGACCATAGATTGCGGACATACTACAGAGACTCCCTATGAATAAGTCCGGAAGTGACGAAACGCGTTAGATATTTGGCTAATCGATGACCGGAAGTGATGTACTTTGGAACCCAAAAGTGATGTGGGACTGTCCGAGAGCGAGGACCGGCAGTGGTGAGAGCGTTGTAAGGTCTTCCCTCTCTGATACTACCGATACATGGAGATATATATATCTTTGGGCTTACTTTATACTATGTTCTTGTAAGTGAGATTCTCTGGGCAGAGATTAAATGGTTTTAAATAGTACTGCACCATGTCGGGTCTCTATTTTTTTTCTTTTATGTGATGTCTGTGGAGAGTCATTATCAGAGGCAATAACATTGGAGCATTTGAACCATTCTTGGGAGGAATCGATTTATGATATGAGAGAACATCTTTTTCTGGAAGAATATAAATTTACACAAAAACGCATTTGCCAACCATGAGAGTGGGAGGCAAATAAATTTGGTGAGTGTACACCTGAAGGGGGAGCACGGCACTTTGAAGATATTTAAACAGTCACGTGGTGATTTTTCTTTGGCAGTTATAATTCAATTCACATGGTGAATACAAAAGGACTCTTGATTTATGGACTTTTTTTGATTATCACTTTATTATTTACAGAGCGCTGCACATATATTTTGTTATTACAGAATATGATTTGTTTAGTGTAAATTAATTGGTTTATGTGAAAGTTATAGCGTTTACAAATGGCGTTATATATACTGGATTTTTTTTTACTAGTAATGGTGGCAGTCAGTGACTTATAGCGGGACTGATACCGGGGGGAACTGACTTGGTGTCACTGACATCCCCAGTGACACCAATACAGTGATCAGTGCTTAAAAAAACCCACTGACACTTTACTAATAGCACTGGGCAGGAAGTGGTTAACATGAGCGGCAATCAAAGGGTTATCTGTGTACTGGGTGTGTTTTACTATGCAGCAGTGTGTTTGTGCTTCACTGTAAGCACACTGCTTTGTATGGCTGTGCTGTGAAGCACCATGCGAAGCAGTGTGCATGAGCTGACAGGGAGGAAAACTGTTTTGTTTACAAACAGTTCTCCTCCCCGTTGGAGATCCTCGGCAATTACTGGGCGCCGACAAGTTATCACCGACTGGGACCCGGTGATTGATAGCCTACCCAGAAATGCAAATCACATATATATATATATATACGTGATTTTGCACACCCCTGCCACCCTGTAGCAGTATTTCTGCTATAGGGCGGTCTGAAAGCGGTTAACTTTAATACCACTACACTCAGGACTGTATTCCTGTTGAGGAGTCCCTGTTTAGTACCACTTTGTCTACACCTCAAAAAGGGGTGCTTTCACCCTGAAGTATTGAAGCAATATTGTCCACTTTGAACGCATATCCATTTGAAGTTCATTGGAGTATCCCTAGGCTCACTCTCACCCTATCCAACTTCATACCCAAAAATTAAAAAAACAAAAAACAAAAAAAATGCAAAAAGTCATTCAGTCTGTTCTCTGACTGGAGCGATTAGGAAATGCTGTGTGCCATCATGGAATGGAACCTGGGATCAAACATCCAAACCAGTTGCGGATGGTTGATGGTCATCTGACATTTTTCAACCTATGTAACTACATGGACAGTGCTTTTTAGAATTGTTAAGTCACCGGTCACAACGCTGTGATTTAAAATTGTGCGATTTCAGGTGCAATTTCTGAAGAATTTATTGCTACTTGTGAAGTTTTTAAAGATTTCTTGAAATTTGCAGTGCGATTTCCATTATATTCTATGTATGTGAAATCACAACAAGACTGCAGAAAAAGTAATGCAATAACTAGTTTAGAAATCTCGCTGCAGCAAATCGCATGTTAAGACACTGACATTCACATTCATTAGATGCAATTTCAGGTGTGCTTTCAATTTGCAAATCGCACCGGTATGACTTAGAATGTTTAATTTTGTATGATAAGTCTTCTTTAAAATGCTGCGCGATTATTATGTCAAAGGGAAAGTAGTCTTATCTTTACCACCCTCATCAGTTTCCAATATTGAGAACTGAATAACAAACAAGAGCTCCCAACTCCCTATTTGGATTGGTTAGATAAATGTGTGTGCCAGTCCTCCCCTCCATGGATCAACATGACGGGCTGGGTTGCTGCTGCTCTCTGTTTGTGTAGCAATTATAAAATGATCGATGTGATTGCAGATAATCATGCAGAAAGCTGTCTATACGCCTGACTGCAGTGGGCTTGGAGGGAAGAACCACGTTCATTTTCACAGGCAGAGGATATGAGCAATTACCCCAAGCATGATTTCATCTATGTCAGGAAGATAATTACACCAGGGGAAAATATATGTGTGGGACTGGCTTTTCCCATTTTTATCTTGACCTAATGAGAAATTTGTTTCCACTACAAGGTTAAGTCCTCATGCACATTGGACGTTTCTACAGATAACCCCCCAGCATGTTATCCTATGTGTTCATGCACACATAGACTGTAATCACGTTTTTTGGCTGGAAAAAAAAACCCAGGACTAGTGGCTTTCTAGAGAAGTTTTTTAGCTGTAAAAAAGCTCTAATGTGGCAAAACGCAGCAAAACGTCGCAAACCGGCATTTTTGGACTTTTTTTATTCAAACGTGGTAAAACAACAGTAAACGTGGCAAAACGCTAATGCAAAAACGCTATAAAAAAGCTGAAAAACTCACGTTTTTAACTTGACTTTACACAGCTAACGTTATCAGCGTTATCAAAACATCCCGTGTGTATGAGGACTAATAGTTTCCATTTTAAAACTTTGAAGAGCTCTAACCAATTATAATTAAAACCATTTTACATTTTTATAGCCGCTGTTTTTGGCTTTTGATGTTTTTTTTCTACAGCCAGTAAACCCCCCAGCATGTTATCCTATGTGTCCATGCACACATAGACTGTAATCAATGTTTTTTGGCCAGGACATTTTTTGGCTGGAAAAAAAACCCAGGACTAGTGGGTTTTTAGAGGAGTTTTTTGTAATTCTTTGCTAAAAGCAAATTGTGTAAAAAAGAAAAAAAAAATACTGATCACTACCCCAAAGTAGTACAATGTTACTATGGTAACATTGTACTACTTTGATCATAGTAAAATATGAAAAAAAAATCTTAAAAAAAAATAAAAAAAATGTAATAAAAAATTAAAAATAGTAAAAAAAAAAAAAATATATATATATATTTTTTTTTTTTCATACTGTCACCAGTCAGTGTCCCTGTTCACATGCCAGTTATATGATGACGCTGTACTGCAATGGTGACAGTATGTAAAAAAATAAATAATAGTGAAAATAATTTTTTTAATTTTTTTATTTTCCGAAAAATTATGACAAAAAAAATACAACTTCAAAAAACTCGCCATTCCTCTTATGAAGTTCGTCGGACTGTCTACTCTGCAAAAAGGGGTCATTTGGGGGATATCTGTACTATTCTGACATTCTTGGACCTCAAGAAATTAGATTGCCTGTCAGTACTTCAGGATTGATCAATTTTCAGATCTATACCATAGTTTGTAAACTCTATAACTTTCCTACAGACTAAATAATACATCCTAATTTGGGTTATTTTCACCAAAGACATGGAGCAGAATACATCTCGGCCTAAATTTATGAAGAACAAATATTTATTTGCAAACTTTTATAACAGAAACAAAGAAAAACGTGTTTTTTTTTCAAAATTTTTGGTCTTTTTTTGTTAATTTAGCAAAAAATAAAAACCCCAGTGGTGATTAAATACCACCAAAAGAAAGCTCTAGTTGTGTGAAGAAAATGATAAAATTTTAGTTTGGGTACAATGTTGTATGACCGCGCAATTGTCATTCAAAGTGTGAGAGCGCTGAAACGTGAAAAATGGCCTGGGCAGGAAGGTGTAAAATTGCACGGTATTGAAATGGTTAAGTTGTCATTTTTTTGTAATAATTTTTTGGAGAACGAAGAAATTAAAAAAAATTATTTTCACAAATGTTTTTTTTACATACTGTCACCAGTGCAGTACAGCATCATCATATAACTGGTGTGGCAATGATCAGGGACACTGACCGGTGACAGTACGAAAAAAAAAAAATTAGAATTTTTTTTTTTCAATTTTTTAATTATTTTTTTATTTTTTATTACTTTTTTCTCTTTTTTTTAAGATTTTTTTCATATTACACTATGACAAAAGTAATATAATGTTACCATAGTAACATTGTACTACTTTGGGGAAGTGATAAGTATTTTTATTTTTATTTTTTTACACAATTTGATTGCTTATACCAAAGAATTTATTTGCTATAAGCAAGCATTTAACTGAATGAAATTGATTCATTCAGGTTTTTTTGTTGTGATTAGCTGTGATTGGCTATGGCTAATCACATGACACAGATGGGCTGTGATTGGCCGAGCCTGTGCGTGTGATCACTGTAACCATTCACAGCTAGACACACTTGTGTACAATGGATGGTATGAAAGGAAGCCATCTATTGTTTGCAACTGTCATGTGACCTGCTGTGATTGGTCACAGCAGGTCACATGGTACTGGCAACGAGGCTGGAACACAGATCTGTCCGAGGTACACAGCCGGTGACAGATCTCGCCACAGCGCGGTCCTGCAGGCACGCGCACAGCGTGATCTGGGAAGGACATCATATGACGCCCTCTTGGATCAGAGAGAGTCCCACCTGGCCATCATTTTACTATAGGCCGGGCGGGAAGTGGTTAAACGCATCAACTTCAGGGACAACATGTTTACTTGCTGCCTAATATAACTTACTATCAGTTGTCATTGTAACAAAATAATTAATGTTATTCAGTTTACCTGTCAGTGGTCATAATGTCATGGCTGATTGGTGCAAACGGGTCTCCTACCCTACCAGACCAGGTTGTGATGTGTAGCAGAGCTGAGTAAATCTCAG